CTAATTAGATAGATATAAATATTAAAATTGACAACATTAAATTATTCTATATAAAGAGTGTCCCAACAAAAGAGCGCCGGATTTAAATTTGCCACCATTTTATTAATACGAGTTGTACGGCGTTTTTTTTTGACAGTTGTCACGTACAGACCGCGCGATTTATGAATATGGTGAACTATTCAAACGAACAACGTCTAACTATTATAAAAACACATTACAAAAATGGTGAAAGTTTTAGGAAAACTGTTCGCCAATTACGTCAAGTTTTCGGTCACAATAATGCACCAAATGAATCAACAGTGAGGCGTTTAATTACAAAATTTGAGACCAAATTTATGCTGATGGATCAGAAGATCAATGTTTGTCGTCGTCCTTGTCGGTCACTTGAAAACATAGCTACAGTAAGAGAATCTGTAGTCGAGAATTCAGGAACTTCCATTCGGCATTGTGGTCAAGAATTAAACATTTCCAGAAGCACTATACAACGAATTTTGGTAAAAGATCTGCATTTGCACGCGTACAAGGTTTAATTGGTGCAAGCGCCGTGGATTTGTTGATTGGGTGTTGGAACATCATCAAATTAATGCGGACTTTTCGAAGAAAATCATTTTTTCAGATGAGGCACATTTTCAACTCGACGGATCGTAAATAAACAAAACTATCGAATTTGGGGTGCTGAAAATCCTCGTGTGGTACTCAAACAACCAATACATCCACCGCTAGTAATTGTTTGGTGTGCATTTTGGACTGGTGGCGTGATTGGGCCGTATTTCTTTGAAAATGAGGCTGGAAATGCGCAAACTGTTAATGGGGTGCGGTATCGCGAAATGTTAACGGAATTTTTTTGGCCCGAATTAGATGTCATTTATGTGGAGAACATGTTTTTCCAACAAGACGGTGCGACGTGCCACACAGCACGTGAAGCAATGGTGTTACTGCAGACCAAGTTTCCAAGTCGTGTCATTTCTCGATTTGGCGATGACATTGGCCACCAAGATCGTGCGATCTAACACCGATGAACTTTTTTCTTTGGGGCTATGTAAAGGAAAAGGTGTATGCGAAGAAGCGTGAAACAGTTGAAAATCAGTTATTGGTGAAATACAGCCACATTTATGCGAAAACGTTATTCAAAATTTCAACAAAAGAATAACTCTGTGCCAGAGGTTTCGTAGTGGCCATTTGCCTGATGTTGTATTTCACGTTTAATCGAAACTATTTTTCTTTATGTTGAAATAAAAATGTTTGCTTAATTCAAAAAATAAATGTGTTTTTCTTTAAAATTAAATACAGCGCTCTTGTTGGAACACCCCTTTATTAAAATTATTACAATATTCTTACCATGTTGGGTGGACCTCCACCACTAAATCCGGCTGGATTCCCACCAGCGGGATTATTTGGACCCCCCAGAAGCGGTGGTGGGGCACTGTTTATATTTAGTTGTCCCCCCATCATATTTGGTGGTCCGAAAGGGCCTGGACCATTGGAACCGGGACCTCCCATCATGTTTGGCGGTCCACCTAGAAAAACCAATATATTTTTCAAATTTAAACTATTTTGGTTGAAACACAATACGTTTTGTAGTAAGATATTAAACAAAATATTGCTGTTGTTATAGACAATGATACTTGCATACTAATAAACATTTTTAATGATATATACACTTTTGTATATGGATCCACGTTGACTGTAATAAACAATCTTTGGGAATCAACAATACATTGTAGAAGAACGTTATGAAAAAGTTAGTTTTAAAATCTGATAAGAAATTAATTTGTTGGAAATTATTTATTTAATTCAATTAAACAAATTTTGCACTTAAAGGTGAAATGTGTTTATTATCACTCTACCGGTTTCGCTACTTTCGGAGCATCTTCAGGAGTTCGTCAATTTTTTGAACAACTAAACATGTATGTGATACTTTATTGAATTAATTCACTATTAAAATGTTAATCTCTAAACATGTGCTATCATACATCACTTTTTATTATATTTTAGGTTATGTTGAAACTGTCAATGGTATATTTTCTATTTTAATGTTGGTAATCTGTCAAATGTGATTGTCGTGTATTGAATTTAAACTTTCTTGTTTTGAATAGGTTGATTTTCAACAGGTTAAAATGAGGTATTACAACATAAACATATTAACTCCCTACATCAAACACACTGAAAAATATAATGGTACAGAGAGAGCAGCTATTTTTAGAGTTCGGGAGGTTTTCGTGGAGGTGTGTATGGTTGTTTGAGATAGGTATATAGTGGTCTTCTTGTAGGTATAATTTGTTCGTTTAGGCATGTTACATCAGGGCAGTTGTTGAGGAATTTATTAATTTCATAGTTTTCCATTATTTCTAAATAGTAACTTTTATTGATATGATGAAGGATTCTGGAATTTTTATCTTCGTTAAATTCATGTTTTGAGTTAAATGTTAAGTGATTTCCGAAGTTGGAGTTATTTTTGTGTTTATGTTCTCTTATTCTTTTTCTAAGGCTTCTGCCTGTTTCTCCAATGTACGCTGCTTTACAAGTGTCGCACTCTAGTATGTACACACCATTGTCGTCCAGTTTATTTATTTTGTCCTTATTGTTTATAAGCATTCTTTCTAATGTTTTATTTGGTTTGAAATTAAGATTTATATT